TTTAGCGCTTCTTTCAAAACTTTATTTATTTATTTATTTATTTATTTATTTATTTATTTATTTATTTATTTATATAGCTGCCCATCTCATACAAATGATTCTGGGTGGCTTACAAAAATTAAAAAATAGAAAAACTGCCACACATAACTATCTGGCATCTAAGGGTGAACAATAATCCCACTCACAAAGGAAAAACAAAAAACAAAACCTGACATCAGTAATACCCAACGCAAAAGTCTGGGGAAACAGTCAGCTCTTCAATGCCTTGTGAAAAGTTAACAGGATTGGGACCATCCGACTCTATGGAGAGATGATATGTTCCGCAGGGCAGGTGCTGCCATTGAGAAGGGATGACTCTGGGGTCAAACAATATGGCATGATTTGATAGAAGGGACGCAGAGTAAGCCCTCTTTACTAGATCTGGTGGGGCGAGCAAAAAGGAAAAAGGTGGTCCTGCAAGTAACCTGGCACTATGCCAAGGAGGGCTTTATAGGTGATGATCAGCACCTTGAACTGTACTCAGAAACTTACTTGGTAGCTCGTGGAACAGCTGTGTTACATGGGTGTAATGAGGAATGCCAAAAACTGCCCATGCTGCTGCATTTTGTTTGTTTGTTTGTTTGTTTATTTACTTATCCATTCATTTACTTAACTTGTATGGCCGCCCATCTCACCAACTGATTCTGGCCGGTGAACCAAATTTTTAAAATAAAACAATAAAATAATACAAAAATTAAAATACATAGTAGTCAAGAATAAATCACCCATCACAATGACTAAATATATTTGGACCAGCTGGAGCTTCCAAGTACTCTTCAAGGGCAGCCCAATTACAATAGTCCAAATGGGAGGTCATTAAGGCATCAGACTCCTTGAACAAGGCCTCCAGTCCAGGAATGGGCTGAACTGGTGCACAAGAACAAACTGTGCAACCCCTTCTCCCCTGGCCATGGCTGCCATCTACTCTTTGAGGTGCTGACCATCCTCATGTAGTTTCCACCTTTCACTGTTAAATATCACTTCTGACTTTCGACCAGATTTTTCTCCTTCACATGAGTGACTAATAAGCTGGACTTAATCATTGACACTACTGCAGAGATCAATCCTGTAGTCTTTTGCCTGCAGCTTCCAATCACAATGAATAAAAAATCCAATTTTCTATAATTCCCTTTTGGCCTTAAATGCCTCTCTTCCTGCTTGAGCACACTTGCAAATCCCACCTCATTGGGCAAGGAGGAAGAATTTCAGGTGGAAGCATTTTGGACATTCAGTGCAGGAGGAGCAGCCTGTTATGTTTGTTTCATTGGAAGGGTCAACTTATCACTAATTTATCATACAGTGCTCACCCACATCTTTGGCATTTCCACAAGCCCAACACAACTGCCTGGCCACACAAAAAAGCTTCACTACATGCCAGCTATTTGAATACTGAGTGGAAAGAAGACTTGTTTATGGAGGAGGTATCTGTACAACCAACAAGGGAGACAGATTGCTCCTACCCACCCCAAATGACAGTTTTAGAATGGGAGAGTTCCTAATTAAGAGGTAAAATATATTTATACTCACTCTTCCTGCTGTTGATGTTAGGAGGAGGGAGGAATAGAGGAGGTTGAATGGGAGAAGATCTGACTCATTTCTTCTGAAGAAGAAAAGGAAGGAAGAGTACATTGCCCTCTGGCCACCCATAACCAGCAAGAGTCGGGGAGAAGCACTTGAAGTGGAAGGCAAGGAGAAAATATGGAAGTATAGGAAATGAGGCTGGCAAGGCAAAAACAAGCATCTAGAAAAAAGCATTTTGGCCAGATGCCTTCCAAGGGCATTAGAAGAATGGCCCAGTAGCTGTTAAACTGGAAAGGCAGGAGAAAAAAGGTTTGGAATTGAAATCCTGGAGCACGGACAAATGATAAGGACTTCAATGTCTGTGTACTAAAGTGGACAAATATTTTTATATGGCTTCATTCTTGTCTTTAATAAAGACATGAATCTAATCAAATAGTGTTCAAAACCATTTTGGACAGTAAGCCAATTTCTGGATTAAATGTCTGGAAAGATTTACAACTGTCCCTTTACCTAATGTGAAGCCTGATATTAATTGTGGCATTTATTGTGAACCTCTCTAGATAATGAGTTACTTTTTATTTATTCCTCTTTGTATTTTAAAAATTTGGTGAAGTTTTGGAAACACATCACTGTTCTCTACAGCTTCCATTGTTAGGTCTGATGTATTCCTCCTTATTTTAAGCAGGAACCAATAATACCTAAGGGTCTAGGATAGAGACATATCTGCAATCTTAAGTTTCAGTAGAATCACTGAATTTATGTATATGATTTCTTAAGTGGATCCTATTAGGCTTTCTAATGGAAAAGTCATGCTAGATTTATATTACAAATCTGTATTCATTATTAATTACTCTCTTTAGACTTTTTTATAGCTAGATGCTATTTAAACAGTTGTCAACATTTGTTCCACAGTAAATCAAGTTTCTGGCTTTCTACTTTGTTTAGATTATTGGAGTGAAAGTGATAAGGAAGAAGTAGACACACCTTCAACACCTAAGCAAGACAGTCCACCTCCACCATATGACACATATCCACGACCTCCTTCAGTAAGTGATTATGTATAATAATTGTCATTGTTTATGGTTGTCTGCATAAATCTTGTTTAGAAATGCTTTAAAACTGGAAGCATCATATATTTTACAGATTTTGCATATGAGCACTGATGGTGAATGATATCCAAAATAACTTTTGAGGATGCTTGATACTAGGGAATCCTGTGTGTACATTTTTTCCAGCAAAATATAGGTAAACAGCCTAAATCAATGCAGAAACAAGAACAGCAGGTGTAAACTGTCAGCTAAACCTGATATAGCTTCAGGTTCCCATTTAAATAGTAGAGCAGCATTTGTTAAAGTCTTAGAACAGAGGTCCTCAAACTTTTTAAACGGGGCCAGTTCACAGTCCCTCAGAATGTTGGGGGGCCGGACTATTTATTT